ATGAGACAAACACATAATATGTGCCTATATAGTCACAATGATAGGAAATACACTGAAAAATGAACAAAGAACTAAAAATAAGCCTCTTATAAGAAAAGCTACTACTTCTGGGCTAATCTATTAGTAGTTTGTTTTCCTTAATTTGGTAAAGAAGAGCTTCAGAATTAGATTCTAGAGTAAATCTTTTAAAATTATATATATTATGCATGTATACACATATACATACTCTATGCATTGGCTTAAAGAATATAAAAACAGCACAGGAATAGTTTATGCTGTAGTGTTGTGCAGTCTTATTTAGAAATAAGAAAAAAAGTTTTTCCACTTAGCTGTGAGTGGAATCACCCATACTTTTTAGTTTAGTGGAGAAATTTAGTTTTAGTGGGGGTTGATACAGCTTTTTTCTTTCCTTTTTTTTTTTTTTTTGGTAGAAAATCAGGCTTTGGAGTCAGACAAGTCTCGGTTTTAGCTTTCAGTGTCCTTATCTCTAATATAGTAATATTAATAGTTATCTCTTCCTGGGTTGTTGAGAGTTTTAAATGAAATAATAAGTTCAGTACTGGCACAGTACCCATAAATGGATATGACAAGGGGAGAGGAGTTTGTTTTCATTAGATTTAGCAAAATCATTCTTTCCCCCAACTCCCCAGAAAGATTCATTTTAATGCTATTATTTTCCTTATCACCCATAAACAGACAGAAAATTGGCATGTTTCAAAAGAGTGTTAAAACTGCAAGAGTGTTGCACGGTATCATTACATTACCATTCATTATCTAACCGGGTTTATTTATGAAGGTGAGACTTAGATAATTTAGACTTACCCTTTTTCCATTTTGTGGAGAAAGAGAATCAGAAACTTGAAAAGAAGAACTCTTCCAAACAGAAAGATAGCTAGACTTTCTCTCAATAGTATATATAATCTCTTCTAATAATCTTTAGCAAAAGTGACTTTTGAGTTCTTTTAAATATTTCCTGTATTGATTCTAATTCAATGCCCATTTCATGTGATGTCTATAGAACTAGAGACTTAGATTACAGTCAGAAAACTGAGTAACAGCAGACACCAGGTTTTCAGCTACTTTTAGGGTTTATTCACATTGACTACATCTCATTCATTTGGATGGATTTAGTGACATCAGTTGATAACTGTAAAGAAAGTAGCCTTTAATCTGACGTTTTCGTATTGATATTACATAGGAGCCACATGACTATGTCATGGGTTCATTCACAAGATGTAATAAACATTATTTTCACGTGTAGCATAAAAGCAGTCTTTATTGTTTTTTTAGAAGCATTAAAACACACACACATATATATATAAAACATATATAGATTAAAAAATTATATCAGCGTAAGTTCTGTAATTGTTAATAGATGTAATTGTATAAGGTCGCTATTCATTGTTTCTCATTTTCAGTTGAAGCCTGTCATGTGACATTTTTATATATAATAGGAATCCACAGGTTGTTAAAAACATAAGGAAACTAAGATAATTTGAATTCACATTATAAAATAGTTCAGGTCTATTCTGACGAAGCAACTTCACTAAGATCTGAGGCTTTTGGGTCAGCTTTTAAAAGTTTATCTTATTTTTCATTAAAATATGTATGTATAATACTCTATCATGCAAAGAGAAATGGTCAACAGAATTTCTGTGCATATGTGGTTGCTGGTTATTTGAAAGCCATTCTCCCCCTAGGATTATTTGACCAATTTTGTTTTCAGCTTAGATTAGGGAGAATATAGTGTCTCCTTAGGTAAAATACTTACTAGAACCAAAAAGGTCCGGATTAAATTGGTTTTATTTTTATTTTACTGCAGTTTTGTGCAGTTGACCTGATTTTAAAATACAAAGCTGGGAAGGCATATTTTCCATCTACCAGAATGTGAATCTTACTTTCATTTTGAAACAAACACCTCTGCTTTAAGAATATGAATGGCAGTGATAAATACAAAAACACTAACATTTTTTAAATGAATAGCATTTGTTGATCTTTAAGAGAAAACATAAATGTGAAATAACTTTAGAGTTTTCTTCCTCAAAACTTTTAGGAGTTGATTTTATTATCCAAAACAACTTTATTCATACTAAGTGTGACTATCTGAATAATTACCTCACTTTTATAGTTTTGTTTTTTTTTTTTAAAGAAAAAGCTCTTCTAACTGCAATTATCCTCAAAGAATTGGATTAAGAAATTTAATAATTTTCTGTCATTAGTCCAACGAGATATTTACTGAATAACCATTATGTTCCCGGCTGTTATCACTACAAGGACTCCAGCAATGAGCAAAGCAAACAAGCCCTTGCTTTTCCAGAGCCCACATTCTAGAGACAGATGCTAAACAAATACACAGATAAGTATATAATAAAATTTGGTTTAAGTGTTGAAAAGCAACATCAGAGTAAGAAGGCAGGGAGTCATTTTAAATTAACATTGAGAAATGTTTCTATTTGAAGCATATAAATTCTTTGGCTTTCCTTTTTAAATTTGCTTTTTACTGTTTGTTACTGGTGAAAATTATTTAAAGTAATTAGGAACTCATCATAAATATTTGTTACACTACTCTAAAAATCTAACTCCAACTAGTGAATTTAGCATTTATAAATGGAGGTGTCTATAGAGGAATAAAATCTTTGGTTAACCACTACTTTACTTTTAGCAGTAAAGTCTGCAGCTCATGAAATTTGTAATTCTGGAGTGGTTTCAGTTTGCACTATCCCCTGGGGAGCCTGTTGATACAGCACTGAGCTACAGATTATTATTCGGCTGTAGAAGTTTTATGCTTAGGCATTTTCTTACATCTTCCTCTCTCAGTCAGTTGAAATCTTGTATTTTTGCCAAATAAAACAAATCCCATATTAATAAGAAGCTATAAATAAACAGTAGGAGCATGAGTCAGAGCCAGCATCACCCTTATTCCTTGTGTGTACCTCTCTAGTACTCCCCAGTATGTTCCTTTTGCACAAACATGTAGTACTGCGTAACTACTGTTCTACAGATGAACTCCAGTTATTTAAGTGAGGCCTGTTTTTTAGAACTAAGTAATACTGTAACTAGTAGAATTCTGGCATGTTACCAGAGTCAAAAGCAGAATGTGAAGCTGTATGCTATTGATGGGAGGAAAAAAGAAATATATTTCCTACCTTTCCTGTATAAAGCCCTAAAGAGTTCAGCCCAGAAGATTCCTGTTAGATTTCCAAAATGGGTTTTTATATCATGTAATCCAACATTTTTTTCAGGGGAAAAAAGAAAAAGATAAGTTGCTTGTAAGTCCCATCTCTTTTGCTAGTCAGCTTCTGTCTGATAAAATTTTATTCTGTTTTGCTTCATTGTTTATTCATTCAGTAAATGTTCATTGAACACTTACTGTTACCAGGCATTGTGCTACCATAGACTGTATAAAGACAAATAAGCTAAAATCCTTGTTCTCAAGGAATTTATTATTGTAGAGGAAAGTGACTGGTAAATCCAAAATTTCATACTAAGATAGGAACTATAAAAGAGACATCCTGCAGAATACTGAGATTATGAATAAAACTACTATGTTTGAAGCATTTACTGTCCTAGCTGTTTTATAGAAGTTATTTCATTTAATCCTTTTAGCAGCTTTATGAAGTAGATATTATTACACTATTTTATTTGTGCCAAGAGCACTAAATTCATCAAGGAAGGAGGAGGTAGTGTCAAATTTTTCAGAAGACAATAGAGTTGGTTATAGAAGGATGAGTAGGTTAGAGAGTGGGAGGAAGATGAGGCAGTGTGACATTTCAGACAGAGAGGTGAATATGTAAGCACACAGGATGAGTGAGGGAATTGTTGGAATGTAGTCAGTTCTAGGAAATAAACAATGGCAGGATCCAGATCATGAAGGAATTTGTGGGCCATGCTTAAGGAGTTTGATTCTTAACCTGTAGAAGACAGAAATATGATCGGACTTGCATTTCAGGAAGGTAACTCTGTAATTGTTTGCAATTCCTGTTAAAGGAAGAAATTTTCTCCAGCATTGACTTACGCTTATTAAGTACATATAAAAACTAAATTCTAGAAGCATCTTATACAGTTATGTGTCACTTAAAAATGGGGATATATTCTAGGAAATGCATTGTCAGGTAATTTCTTCATTGTACAAATGGCATAGAGTATACTTACACAAACCTAGATGTGTATCTTTATTTGTATTTATTTTTTCATATGGAAAACCAAATTTCTTAGCCACATTACTGAATGTCAGTCATTTCCCCTACTTGATCTGCAACACCAACATTAAGTGTGATGTATCAGATTTCTATATATGTTCCATTATAATCTTATGGGACCACCGTAGTTCATGCAGTCCATTGTTGACAGACCCATCATTATGTGGTGCATAAGGGTACTTACAGTTTTACAACTATAAAATGAAGCACAGAGAGGTTACATAACTTAGCCAGTGTCACACACAGCTAATAAGTAGCAAAGTCAGGATTCCACATGTTAGGCCAACTTCATGGACTTAACCACAGTCCTGTATTGCCACTCCTCTTCATTTAAAGGCATGCATGCACAAATTAGGTTTGGAGACAGTTCTAGAGACACTAAATTGGCAACTACAGTCGACAAAGAGACATTGCAGCAAGTACCTCTGCATTGTTTGTTTCTGTACCCTTAAGTTGCAGCAGTCTAGGAGAAAGAATGAAGGAAGGGAAGTGATACATTTGTCAACCTGACTGCATTGTAAAATGAAGCTTTTTTTTTTTTTTTTTTTTTTTTTTTTTTTTGAGAGGGAGTCTCGCTCTGTCACCCATACTGGAGTGCAGTGGTGTGATCTCAGCTCACTGCAACCTCCACCTCCTGGGTTCAGTCTATTCTCCTACCTCAGCCTCCCCAGTGGCTGGAATTACAGGCATATGCCACCACACCTGGCTAATTTTTGTGTGTGTGTGTGTTTTGTTTTGTTTTTTTTCTTTTTTTTAGTAGAGACGGGGTTTCACCATGTTGGCCAGGCTGGTCTCAAACCCCTGACCTCAACTGATCCACCTGCCTTGGCCTTCCAAAGTGCTGGGATTACAGGCTTGAGCCACTGCGCTCAGCCTGAAGCATTTTATCATGCTCGCTACAAGGTGTTCATAAGTAGTAAATAAAGCCCTTGGGCTAGATAATGTAAGATCCATTGCAACCCGGAGATGAAGAACTTTATAAAGGGGATAATTGTTATCACCCATCAGAGTTTTAAGATGATCTACATGTAGTCCCACTAATTATATTTCTCCTAACTTTTATAGACAGAGAAATCAGTGAAAAATATGTATTTCTAAGGATTAAATCCCAATCCGTAGCTCAAGGCTACCTTTATGTCTAATAGTTGTGATATAATATGTTGCTTAGAGTAGTTCTATAAATGGAATTCACACATAGGACCATAGAATCACTTCTTCACAGGGTTTCAGAGTTGGTGGACATATAAAAGGATAAATCAACCCATAAATCTGTAAGTATTCCTAAAAAAAGAGTGATGTGTCAGTTATTGGCACCAGTACATGATGAATCCTGCTGGGCTGTGGAGAAAGGAGAAACTGACCTGAACAGCACTATACTCTACACAGCTGTCCCTGACATTCCACACCTGTTAGCATTCAGTATTAATTTCATGGATCAAATCAAGGCATGCAAGTGCATTAAATAACTTTTTAAAAAACAACTGCTGATTGCTGAGGGTCTGTGAGGGAAGAAAAATTAGGGGCTGTTATTTTCCTATCAGCCATTACTCTGATTAACAAGAACAGGAAACATTATGAATAAATAAAACTCTTACATCATACCAGAAAAAACAGCTGAATCCCCTAAAGGATTTCATATTCTATCATCAGACAACTAAAGAAAATAATTCCATATAAATGGCTGCATTAATCATTGAAAGAAACTTCCCTGCTTTTTTAAAAGAGCAACTAGAAATATTTACTTTTTGAAAATAGAGTAACCATTTGTTAAGCCATATATACCATTGAGGATGTTTTGGGTATAAAAGGGAATTTCCATAATAATTACATAGTAATCTTTTATAGCCAAAGTTATGAAGATGATCAGAATATGGGAAAATTGTGGTCAAGATTTGATTAGCCTTATCTAAATTCCCCTAATGAGTGTGTAAAAATGTATATCTAATTTACCTTTTGGGGGAGGTTTAACGTAAATATAAATAAAAATTCTTTCCCCAGGTAAAAAAAAGTTACATAGTTGAATTCTACCTTTTCTCATTTCTCTACATCCAAACCTATCACCAAGTACTGTTAATTTTACTTTATAAAGCTCTCTTGATGTGTCTCTTCAACCTCATCACCACTGCTTTAAATGAGGCATACTTCCTCATTTGGATTATGGCAGCAGTCTCTCTTCCTTTAGCCTTTCCTTCAAATCCACCTCCATCCTTCATATCATCCATCATGTATTTTTCCCTGTCTAAATTCCTTGGTTGGCTTCTATTAAATCCAAGTTCCTTAAGCATGGCAAACAGGGGCCAGCTTCCACGAGCTGGTCCATACTTCTCCTGCCTCATTTCCTGACACTTTCCCTTATACCTTGAGATCCAGCTTGCCAGTAGTTCCCCAATACCTCCACCGCATATACAACCACATATATATACATCCTTATCCCCTCCCTCATGTACCACCCATGTATAATTCTCTCCATCTCATGCTTTATCACATTCCTACAAGCCTTGAAGCAATCTGAACATAGATACCATCTTTAATTCGACTCCTAATTGGGGCCGAACATACTTGTCTTGAACAGAGATTGCTGCCTTGTTAGTATAGGTATCCTAATATGGCACATGTATATAGTTGAAGCTATAACGCATTTCCCAAGTTCCACTTCAGGACTAAAGGGTTATTTCCCAACAGCTGGAAGTCCTGCTGCCAGACAGACTTCTTCTGGAATGTCCCCAACTCAAGACAGCCCTGAAGGACCTTTCCCAGTTTTCCATGGGGTCCACTGAGGCTTTGAGATTGAACTGAAATTAACTTCCCCCTCTGCTGTAGCTTCCCTTCAACAGGTGTTTATCACAAGAACAATCGCTAATAAACTTCCTGTGAGCACACTCTCAGAGTCAGCTTGCTGGGGAACCCAAGCTATAACAACATGTTTATCTTGTTGACACTCTCTTATGAGTTCTAAATCATGGGAAGTTATGGTTATCCAAAAATCTTACTAATTGAAGATCATTTCATCAGACATGTATTGAGCACCCGCTGCATGCCAGGCATTGTGCCAGATACGATGGAAACAAATCAAGACTTGGCCCCTGTCGTGGAGTTTACAGTCTGAGGTGACAGTTACATATGGAACTAATTGTACTATAGCATCTTGAAAATCTTTTTGATTTAAACATCAATAATTTTAGTATAACAGTCAAAAGCATGGATTTTGTGGTGTTACAAAACACAAAAGGAAAACATTTCAGGGGAAGGAATACGAATATAAGTAAGTTGAATGAAATTTTAGAAGAGCACAGAGTTTGTCTTTATAATTCTGAAAGCCTTCAGGGAAAAGTTAATTTTTTCACTTTTTGTTTTGAAATAATTTCAAACTTACAGAAAAGTCACATGAATACTGAACTCCCATATACCCTTTATGCAGATATATCAGTTTTTAACGTTTTCCTTCATTCTGTTTCTTTACATGCATACAATTTATTTTTGTGAACTATCTGAGAATAGGTTAAATACTACATTATATCACTTTATACCTTAAAAATGTAGTATTTCCTAGAAACAAGGGTATTCACCTCTGTAACCACAACGCAGTTGTCAGATTCAGGTAATTTGACCTTGATCTTTAATCTAGAGCCCAGATTCAGATTTTATTAATTGTCCCAAAAAAGATGAGTTTAGGAAGAGTCATATAACTTAACTTTTGTAATGTAAATTAAAAATCATATGAAAAATCATAGAACTCGGAAGTTTGCTAACCTGATTTAAATACCACAGTGAAATGAACCACTTCTGATTTTCTATGGAGAAAGCAAGGATTAGGTCCAGGTTACCTGTAAAGCTGTGACTTAGGGCTCCCAGCAGTGAACGTTGCTCTGGAGAGCCCATTTGGTGAGGTTCTTTTCAAGAGATTGTATATTTTTGATCCAGGGATTGTCGATTTGTTGAACTCCCATGTAAGTATGCCGCCTTGCCATTAACAGGTCTTCACAATGCTTAAACGACATTCTTTGGAACTGTCTTTCATAGTCAGGCGCCCCGCCAGCCAGGCGGTCAGGTAGGTAGAAGGGCAACCTCAGGAACTAGATCCGGCTGGGCCTCCCCTAACAACGTGGTCTTCGATCCTCTAACCGGCTGGGCCTCGAACCTCATCACACAGAGCTTTGATAGGGCCGGAGACGCAGGTCAGCCTGACGAAGGCGTCAGGAGGAGTTGGGCAGGGGCGCGACTTCCTGCTGCACCACTTCCTTTCCAGCCACGCGGGCTTCTGGGACCCTATGACATAATTTCTGGAATGGTCTGTTTTGTGGCGGCGGCGAGGCCCAAGCACAGCCGCCCAAGGGGGATGCATAACCCAGGTCGTGTCCACCCCAAAGCTCGAGTCCTCTAGAAGCCATGGCTTTTCCGCTGAAGCTAGAGCCGGACATGCAGGGGAAAGTAGATTTGTTTCGGGCCTGTATCGCCCAGGAGGCCGAGGATCTCGTGTCCGCCTTCTTTCCTCAGGAGGTCTTGGAGCTGAATAGCCGAGTTCAGGAGCTCCGGCTGCAAGACCTGTCCAGAATCCATTCGGTGCCAACCCCGGAGCCCCTGGCCACCCCAGGCACCGCGGGAGATGGGCCCAACCAAAATCTGCCACCTCTGCAGACTCAGTTCTCCATCGAGGTCCCAGCACTGCTTGGCAGCGGGGGACAGCGCCTGCGGAGCAACCAGCATGTAATGGATCTGATTGATCAGGTAAAACCTGAGACTGAGCTGCTGAAAGAAAAATGCAACACAGTGCGGATGTGGGTGCACCTGCTTATCCCGAAGGTGGAGGACGGCAACCACTGCAGGGTGTCTGGATATCCAGAAAGACACTGGACCAGCTGTGGACTGTGGAGAGCACAGCGGCCTCCTATCTACGCGGTCTCAACCATTAATAAATAACTGTGTGATCAATTTAAGTGATTTTTAATTTCAGGCCGGATGCGGTGGCTCATACCTGTAATTCCAGCACTTTGGGAGGCCAAGGTGAGCAGATGGGCAGATCACTTGAAGTCAGTTCAAGAACAGCCTGGCCAACATGGTGAAACCCTGTCTCAAGCAAAAATTACCAAAGTTAGCTGGGCGTGGTGGTGTGTGCCTGTAGTCCCAGCTGCTTTGGAGGCTGAGGTGAGAGAATTGCTTGAACCCAGGAGGCGGAAGTTGTAGTGAACTGAGATCATGCCACTGCACTCCAGCTTGGCTGACAGAGTGAGAACCTGTCTCAAAAATAAATAAATAAATAAATAAATAAATAAATAAATAAAGCTTTTTAATTTCAAAAGTACTATCTCAATGTTCAGAAATTTGAAAAATATAAAAGGAGAAATCACCTACAGTTTACTAGCCTAACAAAATCATTACTATTTGTGTGTGTTTTACTTATTTTAAAGGATGCATATATGTTTTTACATTGTTGCAATATAGTATATGCATACTTTCATAGAGGATAAATATTTGCATTTAAATTCAATCTAATATTTTAATTTCATTTGACAGATATCCCCTGATTCAGATAACAGATACATCCATTCCCCCAAATATTCTTAAGGCTCTATTTCCTAATTGTGAAAATGATATTTGTCTGAGGCAGGAATTGTGATTAGAGTATGGAACATAGAGATCAAGTAGCTGGGAGGAAATGTGCCTATATGACTGTGAGAATGTCTACATATTTAGAATAGGATTTTACTCTGCTTTTAGGTTGGGGCTTCATAATAGCTTTAGCAACATATCTGATCATTTTGTTACTCAGTGCTTTTTCCCTGCCCCTAGAGCATTTAAGTACCTCTAAAAATATATACAAGAAAGCATTCATGTCTTATACTGATTAGATGAACTGTTTCAGCTTTTGTGATTTGAGTAGGAGGGAATTCTATTTCCTCTGTCAGCACTTAAACATTTCTGGAAAATGCTGTAGTGCATTGACATCAGGCATTTTTAAAAAAATTACTGATCTTTGAGAAAAAGTAAAGGACCCAGTGAGTTACAGAAATAGGTGCTGGACCATCCCTGTTCTCTGCATTAGAAAACTGTACTGCTAACACATAGAAATATCTGCTCACCTTGAACTGAAATTATCCATGGGAAGCCGAATACATCCATCTGTCAGTGGTCGATAGATGATGTATTTGTCTCATTCTGTCACCCAGGCTGGTGCAGTGTGTGATCTCGGTCACTGCAACCTCTACCTCCCAGTTTCAAGTGATTCTCCCACCTCAGCCTCCGCGTAGCTGGACTACAGGTGTGGTGCCACCACAGCTCAACTAACTTTTGTAATTTTGATAGAAACAGGTTTCATTCACATTGGCCAGGCTGGTCTTGAACTCCTGACCTCAAGGATCTGCCCACCCTCAGCCTCCCAAAGGCTGAAATTACAGGCGTGAGCCACCGTCGGCCAGCCTCCATATTTGGATGATTATACATTTTGTATATGTTTTTCTTGTGCTTTATGTTTGATGAGCCTTTTTTTTTTTTACTCTTTAGTTGTTATTTTTTAAATTTTTAAATTTTTTATAATTATTATACTTTAAGTTTTAGGGTACATGTGCATAACGTGCAGGTTTGTTACATATGTATACTGTGCCATGTGTGGTTCGTGCTGCACCCATCAACTTCAGCACCCATCAACTCGTTCATTTACATCAGGATATAACCCCAGTGCACATCCCTCCCACTCCCCTCCCCATGATAGGCCCCGGTGTGTGATGTTCCCCTTCCCAAGTCCAAGTGATCTCATTGTTCAGTTCCCACCTATGAGTGAGAACATGCGGTGTTTGGTTTCTGTTCTTGTGATAGTTTGCTAAGATGATGGTTTCCAGCTGCATCCATGTCCCTAAAAAGGACACAACTCATCCTTTTTTATGGCTGCATAGTATTCCTATGGTGTATATGTGCCACATTTTCTTAATCCAGTCTGCCATGATGGACATTTGGGTTGATTCCAAGTCTTTGCTATTGTGAATATGCGCCATAAACATACATGTGCATGTGTCTTTATAGCAGCATGATTTATAATCTTTGGGTATATCCCCAGTAATGGGATGCTGGGTATATGGTACATCTAGTTCTAGATCCTTGAGGAATTCGCCATACTGTTTTCCATAATGGTTGAATAGTTTACAATCCTAACAACAGTGTAAAGTGTTCTATTTCTCCACATCCTCTCCAGCACTGTTGTTTCCTGACTTTTTAATGATTGCCATTCTAACTGGTGTGAGATGGTATCTCATTGTGGTTTGATTTGCATTTCTCTGATGGCCAGCGATGATGAGCATTTTTTCATGCGTCTGTTGGCTGTATGAATGTCTTCTTTTGAGAAATGTCTGTTCATATCCTTTGGCCCACTTTTTGATGGGTTGTTTGTGTTTTCCTTGTAAATTTGTTTGAGTTCTTTGTAGGTTCTGGATATGGCACCCTTTGGTCAGATGAGTAGATTGCAAAAATTTTCTCCCATTCTGTAGGTTGCCCTGTTCACTCTGAATGGTAGTCTTTTGCTGGCAGAAGCTCTTTTTTAAAAAAAAAAA